ATTATTCTCTGTTTTCCTATCCATCGTTTCTCGCAGAACAACTTTCATTTCGTCCAGTAAACATCTCAAATTCAAAACAAAATATTTCTTCATAATAAAGCAAATTTTCCTGATGTCACGAATAAATAATCAAATTCAAAATTCATATTTAACGTTTGAAAATATCACGAATTAATCGATCTTCAAACGCCTTCAAAACAAATTCGAATTACTTTCGTTTCCAAACGCTCAATGAAAAAATGTTGAAAATTGAATGGTACAAAATAAAACAAGATGAAAAGTATTTGCGTGATGGGTTCAAGAAATTAACTGAAGCAAAAACGACCCAAGCTAGAATATGCAATGAGATGGATGACTTCAGATGAAATAATGTCGCATGAACTGAGATGAAACCAACTCAAAAGCAAGTGGATTTGTGGATCCAACACCCAACACAACACTGTCTCTCATATCGGTCATCTGTTCCCATCTCAACATCGATATTATTTTCTGATAGAATCCCGACGATGAACCCGATGACGAGAGACGTGGAGCTCGTACTGATGTTGTGAACGATCGAAATACACTCTCATTATCGATGCTGAAAATACATCGTTGATATCATTATCACCAATGAGCAATTATCACAAAAAACATTCACGTTACTAACAGTACTAAACGTAAAGGTTTATGTAAATATTCAGTTCGATTCGGCATTTGAAAATACATACGATGAAGTTGGCGAGAAGCTTCGAGCCAACGACGAGACAGAGTTTGAGGGTGGTGGTGCGAGAGCACAGGCCATTACCAGATATTTCTGCCACAACGCCAAATAGCTGTCTTGCCCCAGTGATTCACCGTACACCGATGATGCGGTTCCTTTGCTTTTTGACGATCGCAACAATGATGCACGATTCTCATTTTGTGGATTACTGCAATGCTACTGGCGTTCATTATACATTACTGATGCACTGATGACTTGATAATGAATGGAAACAACCTTGGATCGATGAAATTATAGCACGCATTAAGACGAGTGTTCACGACAGGCCATGCATAGAAGACAGCCGTAGGACATTGCGTTATCAAAAACTGATGTTCACAATAGCCAGATAAGGCACATGCCCACGGATCCCAATAGAAGTACTCATTGCCACGATCGCTATTCACCTATTCAATCAAAAATCTGCTGCTGCTGCTGCATTCATCCCATCAACATAACAATTCTCAATAAAACAACTATCTGNACGATACTTGAATATTAAAAGAACTTCTCGACAATCAAAAAAAATTCCCAAAATGGAAAATTTTCAAAAATGGAATGGGCGAAACTTTGTGTGCTTCAACAATTTGATATACTCCAAAGTAATCGTTTATTCAATGAATCGTGTGAAAGGCGATAATGATGAGAAAAAAATCGACAAAGAAACAACCACGAACGATTTATATAAAGAAACGGTTGATAAAAGATTAACAATAAATAAAATATTAACCAGACAATTGTCCGTTTCAATCGAGCCAATTTTATCGGATGATGATGAAAAATCTTGATTCCAGGATTGCTGCAAATCAATTACAATATGAACATAAATATATACACGACATATCATTAATTAAATGGTAATTACATGATAATTACTCATCAGACACTAATTTGACTATATATTTTTTTGGTTCCGGAGTTTCGGCATCACTGGTAATATGTAAATTTCAAAAAGCTTCCTTTAATAACAAATTTTTCTGCAAATAATAATAATAATAATGATAATAATAACAACAATAATAATAATGATAATGAACCAACTCTTTCTGATAATGGTACATGTTCGATGTATTTATTGATAACATATGGCGTTGCGTTATCGAGTACTTCGATTACAGGTGTATCGTGCTGATACGGTGTTATCAACAACAGCAATTGCCTGACCTTAAGTTCATCATAAAACTTCGATGCAAAAGAAAAAACATATATCAATTACGAGCGACGAATCGCACTGGTCAAAAACTTGATGAATGCGACATCTGATGAGATTAGGTCATTTTCGTTTTGGTTCAACTTGATGTTCATTTCTGTCGAAGCACTTTCGTTTTCACTCGTAAAATAGACAGCACTCACCTCTCTGAGGATATTAATAGCGATTTTACGCGATTGTGTGCGGTACTGACACATCATTGCCAACGAGAAACCCTCAACTGAATGCAACGCTAATGCCACTGAATTCGTGAGAATTGGTGAGATTTGCATTCTGTAACATCAACGATTCATTATCCGTACCCAAATAAGATTGAAAAAAANAAAAAAACTCGATTAAAAACCAATTTGTAGATCGGAATGAATTGCCGAATAGATTATCACCAAGACAACTGCTGAAACACAACGATATCTATCTATCTTCACTAAAGAAGTGTTTCTGCCCTCGTCCACGACACCTCCATTACCACATTACTCTCCCATACAAAACGAAAGAAATGCTTGAGACAATCATATGCAAGTCAACTGAACAATGATAAATAACACTAATGAATTCGAAATAAGAACATCGAATGTATCGTACTTAATCGGATTGATCAATTCCGAGTCTTTCTCCACTGTCCTGTTCAGATCTCGTTTTCGTTCGATATGAGCTGCTGTTTTCCATGTAAACATTAACTGATGCAACAATCGCAACGATGAATCCAACAGCGATGGATATGTATCCTGAATTGAAACACTGTTAGTCGTTGATTCATTTTTTATGTTATTTTTGGAATAGAGAAATTTGTTTGCAAGATTAGAATATTGTAATTTATTTTCACTTTTACGTTCTTCACAATTTTTCTGATTCGCTGGACACACCACAGTATACAGTCATAAACGACAACGACACACTCATAATAAAACGATGATATACATTCATAATAAAACGACAATGACAACAGTAGAAATAATGATGAAAACAATATCAAAATTCGGGAAGAAATGAACAGTTGACGAACCAGAAGATGACTGGTAAGAAACGTGAGTATTGTGTGAACGATATCCTCACGCCAATCAGCACACTCACCCATCAGAGTCTGCAGTGTCTGCGCTGCATGAACGCGTAACTCTTCATCGATATGCACATTCATACGAATCAACAGTTCGACCAATTCCTCAAATTTCATTCACTTTCTGCACAGTCGCGTACCATCGAGTTCAAACGAAATATTTCAACTTATTTGTATTACCCACAAATAATCATAATATTAAAACGTTTTCAACTGCTCATTTAAACACTGAACAAATATTCGCTGCAAGAAATATGAATATATTTTTTCATTAAACTTGTTTGAAGAAATATAAATTGATTTGTCCGTAAAATCGAACAAATTTCCTCTAAAATCACATTCCAAATCGAAACTCATAACTGAAAAAAAAAGAGCTGAAGAATGGAGAAAATTCTTACGGAATGGCTCATTGAATCGGGAAGAAGACGTGGGATAGCTGCAACGCAAGTTCGGAACAAATCCAATTTTGGCTTTACTTCACCACTGAAATTTCAATCACGAATAGGAAAAAGTGTGAAATGTACTTCAAGAATAGTACCAATGAATCTACATTTCGTATCGAGCAAACTGATAAAATGATGCAAATGAAAGCGTTGAGAATTATTCAAAAATCAGCAGAAATATTCTCAGAATCACTGAACGAAATCACGATAAGAGTTCCGCCATACGCAACCGTTTTGTGTGTTAATATCTGCAGCGCACCAGTCATAACAGATTAGTCATTGAAACGTAGAAAAGTGAACAATGTATCATACAAATTATCAGTCACATACGTCAAAAGTTCTTCAGGCTCTTTGCCACGTGTTTGTGTAGCAGTCAACAGCAGTGGTTTACCAACCTTAAAAGTAACGACAATGTTTATACATACTATTGAAATTATTCACGCCATTTCACAAAACTATTCTAAATCCAATCCGATCACTACACTCACTTGTATATCGAGTGTTCGCAATATGTTATCGAATGCCTTTCTACACGGTCCATAGTACTGTTCGAGACCAATCGATCTGGCTATATCCGGTGTCAGCGGTCTTGAAATGTAAGTTTTCTTCATTCGTTGTGTTGCATTACTCGCTGAAATAAAGTATAATCTGAGAGTATTACGCTGCACAACCTCTCACTGCTTACATTACGAATGATATCGGTAATAACTATTTTATATTTTGTCCCATTGATATTTTCATCAGAAATCTCTCGTGAAAAGACAACATAAAATGGTGAACGATAAGAAAAACGAAGGAATAATTAGTGACCCATTGAACGAGGCATATCTGGAGGACCCTCCTTTTGTTGTAAACCATTTGCGATAACCATCAATGCTCGAATACCAATATTCATACGTTCAGGATAGAGCGAACTTTTCAGAACGCTATGAGCTCGGTTACAACCCAACAAGTCAAAGATTATTTCCTGAATGATTGTATTCTCTCACTTAAAAATCTGAATCGAATGACAACTAAAATGTAAGTTCATCATTCGACAATATCAGATCAAAACGATAATGACGATGAAAAAAGCCACGAAAACAAAAAAGGCTGTTGGTGCGGGGGCATTCAGTATATCATAAAATCTGTGCAGTGGAATAGTTCATTTCAATGTTTTCATCTTCAATGAATTTTTCTCTTTCAATAATTTATTATGACTCCAGCAAATGCTGAGCAAAGTATTGAGGATCAGAATACCAATTGTTCAAAAGCTGGCATATCGATGAAATCAACTAAACAACAAACCTTAAAAGCGAAGTCAAGTTTTTGCTGTGCGATGAAATGAATGATTTTGACGAAGATATTCAGCGGTGCATCTCGCGGTATTATTGCACGATTTCCTTTCGGAAATAACGAATTACAAATTGATTCCAAACGATTTCTCGTTGCTGTATTCCCTTCACAGTTATTACGAATCACGTACACCCTAAACGAGTTATTTTATCGATAGAAAGCAATCAGCTAAATGTAACATCTCTTAGTTGGGTCCTTTCGTAAAGAATTTCAGGAACAGAATCGAAAATCTACAGATATAATAAATTCATAATAACAGTAGTAACTAATCGAACAACAAACAAAAATTTACCAGAGAAGGCGATAAAGCGATTCGAGTGCAACCCGAGACACCTTGGTGTCTTTACTTTTAAGGCTCGCTAACGTTGACGACAAGAATTGTGTCCAATTCGCCAGAAAGAATTTGCTTTGACTGATGCACAATAGACACGTCAATAACGGATATGCAGCCTGAAAGTAATTACTTATCAACTGTAAGAAGAGATCATGCATACGAATTATGTTCTTTACATTCTTCATAACCATCGTTATGTATTCGTCAAATATCAAAATGAGAATTGAAATCGAATATTTGGTCTTGAACAACAGAAACAAACCATTTTATCACGTTTCTTATTCACAAGATCAAAGGTTGGTCCGTAAAGTCTTTCAACGAAAGAAATCAGCGCAGGAATGTTAACCTCTGTTTTGATTTGCTGAAATTTACTACACATATTAATATTTTTATTGTTATCAGTATTAACTATGAACATTGTTACCATATTCATCACGCCTATTATGATAATATTTCGAATATCGTTTTTCAATGAGTTTATCGACAACATACTTTCTTTGTTCATCAAATGAACAGGGCTCTCTACAGCCTTATGATAAACAACTGTCTTGTATATAAATTTACAACAACCTACTTCATATATAAAAGCATCACTACAATCAGCCATGCTGACAACACGTCAAACTCTAAGAACAAGAAGCACATACCGCAGCAACAGGTAGAAGAATCTCGACTAAAAGACCGGCAATTGCGTGTTTGATATCCTTATCTTTGACTTCCAAATAATACTGTCCCAACTCATCCAGAAACCGTATTCCCAACTCGAAATCGCTCACTTCGTTTGTCTATAAGACAAACAAATTTGGAATCACACATATCGGTTTATTGAAGTCAACACATTCATCGAAAAATCACTGTGTTTACAAATACTATCAAACAATCGAAAGGCAATAACTGTCTTCGAGAACAACTCTTCGATATTTTTCTTTACACAAATTCAACAAACTAAATGATCCGAAAAACTGCATCAATAATAAACTTATTGTGCCCCTTTTTTGCCAATNAAAACAAAACAATAACCTTAACGCGAAAGAATTTCATAGCCATAAGGAGAGCGATAATATTGTTGACAGTGTTTGGTGTGATTGGTGTTTCTTTCTTCAGTTCGGACAACTGCGATAGGAATGTATTCTGAATGAGCAATGAATGCGACTGTGACAGTACACCCAGTACTTCTGCATATCGTTCTGCCACTGATAGCACATTATTATAGTTGGTTCCAACTGATGTTCTTCAAATACAAATTCAAATTATGAAATGTAGCAGAGGATGAAAATCCGGATCCAATCTAATCCAAATGAAAAAGAATTGAAGTTGGAAATATCGTTTTATAACGACGCTCAAGTACTGATATAATGCAAACAGCACAGAGCTTATGATACCAACTATTATTGTGATAGTAATTTCGGTTAGTATTGAGAATCTATCAAATGCGAATTTCAGTTTTCATGGACTTGATTTAATTTTACTCAAAACATCACGAAAATAACTGATATGAAGACAAAAAACATCAATTTAAAACATACGGATCTTTGTAAGCAACTTCTTTGAAGGCAAGATTTACGATATACGNGTATTTGCGGAAGAATTTCAATCAGAACGACACACAACAAATAATGCACGGCCAATTGGCGCTTCTCGAATCGAATCTTCTTTTCACTTAAAAATTAAAAGATATATATTGAATTTCTTAATGAAATGAAAATGGATGTGGTATACTCAGATTCGGCGATAAACTTTAATCCTTTGATTTTCCTAGCGAAAGCGGTCCTATATAACCGGATGAAAACCCGTTCTACAAGTACGACTGCAGATCAGTCGAATCACACATGATAAACGAAAACATCATCCCAATAGCACCATGACAGTAAATCATAAAATCCTGTTGTCGAGAGGAGGTAAACAGGTAACTCAAAAAAAAAAGAATTAACCCAATCTCATCTGACGATAATTCGATCTGCGTTCCATACCACTGAATAATTGTGGATAACACAGACGGTAGGCAGTGCTCACAAAGACCATTCAGTGCTTTCATTAAGTTGTCCACATACGTATCATCACCTATTTGCAAACATCGACTCAAAATTTTGTCCTGAATTCATTCAATATTATCAGATGTTTGTGACGATCAATTTTATTTGCAATCATGACCTTAACGGTTCTAAATATAAGCTTCAATGAATAATTGCTACTGCAAAACTGCGATTTGTACTTTCTCTTGTGAGATGCACAATGCCCATGCCAGAATACGTAAATCTTGGCTTCAACGAATCTGTGCCTGACCCTAATCATGTCCGATTCAAAAATGAGCTAAACATAGGCTAAGGAGACTTCAGCCAACTGTGAAATGTGTCCTTAAGCAAGGCTCAGCCTCAGCTTAGGTTTCCAGCCGATTTTCGGTCTTTTTTGGATCACCAAAGTCAAGATCAGCTTAAAATAGCAATAAAATTGTAAGTGACTTTTAACGGGTGCAAGCCGTGATCGACCATAAAGATCAGGAATATTCTTATAACCGTGATGGTACCTATCATTAAGATATGATTTTGATGTGATAAAACACAAAAGAAAATCCAGTGTCATTCGCTGCATATTCTACNGGTTACAGTACCGTATTCATTTCAGTTACTGTACCGTATTCATTCTTTTCATTTGATCATTAAAATGATTTTTTTTCATTTGAAGTGTCACTCCCGTAAGTTACCATTATAAGTGTTCTCGTAAATATATTCTGTCGAAACTCTCTGAATAAAAAACATCTGATTCATTATTCTACTCTCACCAAAAAAGTCAAGTCACCACATCATCTGTTTCACAGTTCATTTCCAGCATTACTTTGAGATAGATTAATGCCTTTAGTAGAAAGCAAGTGATTTAGTGTACGCACTCACCGACTGTTCATCGTCCATAATATTTTGAAGTTTTTTCTCGAATACAGCAAATAGCTCTTGAAGGAGTGACTTCACGGCAAATTCGCTCGGCAGTGTCGAATAGTAAACATTCGAAGCCGTTATTAATTTCAACGATCCCCAAGGCAATTCAGCTGCTATCATGCTGAACCGAGCACACTTTTATTAGATCACAATCGATGCGCAATGAATGTGCACTGTGTCGGTGCCGAGTAATTTTTTTACAATTGCTACTACTTCAGCACGGCATTCAAATTCAATAAACTAAGCTTTTCCTTCTCTCTAGTGAACTTTTCGATGAACGAAGCGAATCAAATGCAAACTGAATGAATTCATGGAGCGCACTCGGCTATACAAAACTTCTGCTATTGTGTTTACCAAATAAAATTCCTTCAGAATCATCCGAATCAGCTGGTCATGTGCATGGCTTCAAAAAATGAGAGCGATTTTAGTAAATCAAAGTATTAAAATTGGAAAAAAAGCGATGATGTACGTTTCTGCGGTCATTGAACGACATGTACCAGGGTCGCTTTTACGTCGAGGGATGTCTTTCTGCGTTGCTTTCGATATATCCATATTATATCCATCACAGTCCACCATAACATTACTTCTTCTGCTAATTTTAGCAGTTATTTTTACAAAACAAGAAGATACGCAGACAATTCGCCAATTAGGAACGGAGTGACAATTTCACCAAGTGGAAGAAGTCACTTTATTTGATACTTGTGGGTAAATGTGAATTTCTTACCCAGTTAACGGGGATGAATCCAGACAATTTATATGTCATCTCGTAACGCGGATTCAGGAGAACAAAACATGATGTATAGAGTGAACAGCCATGAAGATGTGCACGAGATTTTCGATTTGGCTTGAAGTACAAAAGTTCAAGAAATAATTGAAACTGTTACCCACCCANAACATGGATCGGAAGTGTTAAATTACGAGAGTTATGCCATTTGACATGATCAATGGTGATCTTCAATAGTCACAATTGTATATACTGTAGAAGTAGTATATACTGTAGAAATTGAAATTCTTTTTGTGCTAAAAGAAAAAATTAGTAAGCAAGATGTATGCCATCTTGTAGCCGAGATTCATTGGTTTCAGAAAATGCAATAAACTTTGACCGAAACTGCTAAGTTACGAGAGTTACGCCACCTGCGATGGTGATATTCAGCGGTTACAATTGATGTTTATTGTCAAAATTTGCAAAATAGATGAAGAATGCAAAAAGTGCAAATTGCAAACCAAACTGCACATCATTTTTTTCCTATTTAGCAATAATTAATGCAAAAAATTCATCAAGCTACTGAGCAAATCTGACGAGAACGTCAGTTTGAATTTGATGAGTGAGATTTTGTAAACTCTGTACACACTGACCAATGTAAATACAGTGTACTGAAATGAGCGGATCAACTGTATCAGATAGCTTTAGGATATTCTGAAATTACTCATTCCTTGTATACACTGCTGAATGCAGATACAATGTATAGGAATGAGCCGCTCAGCTATGTGAGATGACTTCAGAAAATGATCAGTGCTACTTGGAGTAAAGAAAAACGCTCGTCAAAATATATACTTTTTTGAATCTAAAGAATCTGGAGAGTCTGATCGTTGAGAGAAATAGACATGTTGCCGTTGAAACCTAAAAGTAACGTTAAATTGAAAATGGTTATTCGCTGCACTCGAATATGATGCGTATGGAACAGAACATACTGAAATTCGTTCGTAAAAGGACTGCGAAAAAGCTGACAACGGCAATGAGAAACGAGTTTTTCGAACGAAGTGATTTGGTTTTCTTAATGCAATTGAATTCACCCTTTTTATGGTGATTAATTATGTTCATTGGTGATTTTCAAGTGAGGTCGATCTGCGTTCGGTTTGATTTCATTGATTGGATATACTTTTGGAAAGGTATTGCTGAGTAATGTTCCTTTGATTAGTTCTTTTTCAGTTCTTCTTTTTAATGAACACTTAGCTCTTTTGTTCATTCCGCCATTACAGCCTTCAGCGGTGACAATCCATCACCTGATGAGATCAGATAGAGGGTTCAGTGGCATGTTTGGGACAATTGATTACCGTGTCAGATGATTACTGTGATAAATTATAGTCAGTAGTCAAAAGGTGAGTTATTTGAGTAAATGTTATTTGATAACATTTATTAAGGGGTGCAGTCACGAATGTGATTGTGATATAATTTGTACATGAACACTCTAACAAATGTGCGTCTTAAATTATTCGCTACTTTCAATTCGTTCGTAATATTCTATTGTTATCACCTACGAAACAGATAAAATCTTAGATTATTCGCCATACCGTCTACAACTTTACTCCTATTCACAAAATTCAGACTATCACTCACCCTCAGCGAATTTTATGAGCGAAATATTCGCAGACATGATCAAAACGACCTGTGCACATTAAATTCTATCCACATATATAAATTTACGACTGCATCTATTTCACATTGAGTGCATGATGACCGCTGGATAATCTTTAAAGTGATCGTGCTTCACAGCTCATTTGAATGCAATTGCTCACGAAACATGAATCGAATATTCTTTAGATGTTTTTTTTAGATTCTTTAGATGTCTCTATTCATTTATTGAACATAGCTGTTATTGACTTACAATCCCGGTACGGCAAATTTTTGATTTATACTATGTATGGAAATGTCACTTGAAGATTTTCGAAGGAAGAGTTAAACACATCACTGAAAAGGAGTTTTCATATCATAGCGTTTTCAAATAAACTTGTTGAAGGCCTCAAAACACTACAGAGACCATCACATAGGATTATAAATGCTGATACGAATGCGGGAGTAAATATCAGTATGAACAAATTCTCTGCAAATTTTGGACAGAAAATGTGTTTATTGAACATATTCTTGAGCAGTAACATAAATAAGACGAATGAATATCATTGGCGTTTCTGAAACGAGGAATATATCACAATACAATTGAGTCGTTTCGATGTCTCATTTAAAAACATTCCACATATCACCGTTCAACATGAAACAATTCATAAATCAACTTAGAGAATTCAATGACAATAAAAATATTCTCGCGGGTTTGAACAAAAATCCCTGGATTTGTTGCAGCGATCGAAAATATTTCAAATTTATGTGGATGTCCATTTTGGACTGCGTTTCTCAGCAAATGCTTTCATACCTTCTTCGCGATCGATCTGAAATTGGACACAAAAAATTGAAAATTATCATTCACTGAATCGCTTCCAACACTCACTAACTACCTCAGCACCACACTGAAATAATCAACTGATGATTTGCAAAGCGATAAGCACTCATTGCGAATGAATCGAAATCAATCTAAAGAGAGGTGAAAGCAGTCAAAATGATGAAAAAAGATACAGTGGCGAAAGTCTGATGGAAGAGAGTTTTCTCGTACTGAAGTCCCTTCTGAAGTGTCATCTCATACGAATTGTTAACGGCCTCTTTCACCATCCTCACAATCAACGGTGATTGCGCAGCGATCTTTTCAGCAGTCTTTATCGCTTCATCCAACACCTGAACACTCTCTTTAAGCAACCTCTAACGAAAATGGAACCGTTTTTTATTCCATTCAACTATGAATCAGCATCCAAATTTAATTCATTATGCGTAGTCGTCACAACAAACATTAAAGTGCAATTTATCGTTATCGTTTCAATTATTGTTTTCATATTGCCATTGCATTCATAATAATAACCTTATCAGTAGGAAACACTTTCGAACAGATGCCACACTCCTTTGCTTCTTTTGCTGATACCCTATTGCCAGTCAAATTAATCTCCATTGCTAGGGATTTACCAGCGACACGCGTCCAACGTTGTGTGCCACCACTTCCTGACGATGAATCGATGAGCCAATGAAATAAGATGAAAATAGAATTTGATGTGAACGATCACGAAACGTACACGATGAATAGGATGAGAATCACATACCTGGAATAGTTCCGATATTAATTTCAGGCTGACCGAATTGTGCATTTTCGCCAGCATACATAATGTCGCACATCATCGCTAACTCACAGCCACCGCCCAACGCAAACCCATTCACAGCTGCTATAATCGGTTTACGAACCGATGAGATTTGATTCCATCCTTCCAGAAATCCACTTTTGTACACATCGACGAACTTCTTATCAACCATTTCTTTTATATCTGCACCAGCTGTAATAAACACATGAATGTGTGGTGCATGATTACGCTACAATTTGATATTTTGCAGTCACATCAACAAAGTCTTAAACGCTCTTGTTCAAAATTCCTCACATATGTTCTACTAACATAAAATTAGACCAATTGTTCTTGCAATAGTGACACATTTACCTGCAAATTATACACTACCAATAAGGAACTGTCTAATTTGATATTTTCACAAAAATAATCCATAAGATATTACCAGCAAACGACCGTTCCGAGCCAGTGATAACGATTGCACCAACTGAATCATCACTATCGAATTCCTTCAGGGCGATAGCCAACTGCAAACCAAAATTTTTCGCGATCAACAAATCATAAACGAACATCAACCACGAGACTTTTACTGAACAGTCCCAAACAACACACTTTTATTGCTGAGAGATGGTCATTTTAGTTAATGGAGAAATTTTGCCCCATTCACATGAAAAAAATTTATTTAGGTAACAAAATCTGGATCGTATTTGGATGAAATGTATATTATATAACCTCGTTCATCAACTGATCACAAAGTGCGTTCAGTGCTTTCGGTCGATTCAGACGAATGAGACCAACGTTTTTATTGGCACCAACTTTCTCGTTCAAGATCATCTGCATTGCTGAAAGAACGTAATTTCTTCAAATGCAAAAGTTTATAATGTCAGAAATTCAACAATATGTTTAGAAATTTATCAGAAATGCTACGAATAGCTTTTACGTAGGTAACAAATCGCTCGTCAAAACGATCGATGTTGTTTACCGATATTAATCATTCGAATTTAGATGGTGTTTATGATGATGATCACGTGTTATTTTTGCAAATTTGATTGAATATGTATTCGTCTTATTTCACTCTCATTCGGTCTCATTACCAAGTTATCATCAAATCAAATCAAAACAATAAGAACGTCTTCTTAATTGTGAATGTAACTGTTACTGGAATGTCAACCTTAAGAAAACGCATTGGTAATGAGAAAAAATTGAAAAAATTCAACGTTTCACTTGGTCAATATGGATAAGTTTTATTTTTGTTTATAAACGAAAGAAAGTCATCGCTTCATTCTACAATAAGCCATTAAATGCAAGCAATCGAATGAGTACGTACTGCATTAAACAGCAAAGGAATAGGAACAATGAAAATAACGTTGAAATTTTTCTCGCCAACAATTAAGCAAACTGCAAGTAAAGTTGAATTTGGCTGAAGCAAATAAAAACTGACCAGGTTTGCTGGCAGATGACATCAACCTTACGGTTGAATTTATTGTCGATAAACGCAGATTACCCACGACTACTGCACCAAATTTGAGCATCTCGATTCACTGAAATTTTCAAATATTTCATGCATCATTCAGCATTTGTTAATTGTAAATGCTGATGAAATTTATGACTCAAGAGGCTAATTATTCCAGGATCTTTATCATCATATTTCAGGACATGACACGAGGTATGTGACCTCATGAGGCTTAGAAGGTTTGAATACCTCTGTATTCCGGTTTCAATCATTTCATCTGATTAAATTCAGTGAAAAGAAATTTCATTCATAAAATAATCAAATGAAAGACATGAATTGATTATCGTGATAGTTCAAACGAATGTTTTAGAAGGACTGCATTCTCTAATTTAATTAGATAAAAAAGTCTCAAAACGGACTTTTTTGTCAACACCTTACGAGACTGCTTTCTCGGGCATTCTCCTAGTTACGATGCTAATCTCTATCTTATTGTTAATACCTCAATCAAAATCAACGTAAGAAATGAGGATTTAAATTCAAGATCACATTTTATTTCGAATTCAGCCATCCAGTCATACACTAGGAAAACCTCAATGATCACATTTTCATTCCACTCCCAATCTCGTTTTGAAAGAATTTGAAATGAGTGATGAATAAATGGGAATTTCATCGAATCAATTATTTTGTTTGTTCGAAATTAACAAAAACAGAACCAGAACATAAGACGAACTTATTCGCATTATAAGATTTGCGATTCAAAGTTGAAAATATATACAGTTGGTAACTTAAACATCAATTGATGAAATCAATGACTGCATACATAATTAAATTATTACAAAGCAAATCGCACATGAAAAACAGGTAACTGATCGTAAGTAAAGTTACACACTGGAGTGCGTAATGTGAACGCGACAGTATCGATGAGTGATGTGTGATTAGCAGCAATATGGGCTCACTCAGAGCAGTACATCTATAAATGTTTATCAACGCATTGATCACATCATTGACTTCTTTTCGATAATGCTAATAACATCGGCTTTGGTGAGCGTTCGTTCTGCATCATACAAACACCAAAAACATTTTGATCTTACCGTTAATGTCGCATACAAATGCCACTGCACATGGCGTATACTTCATTGAAGAATGCAAAGATCTTCCACGATCGAAATAAGAGCAGAATGAACTAAAATACTGATTGTGAGGAAGTAAAACGAAATAAGATTCACAACATTTTTGTTATCGCGAATTCGCATAATGTTGTCTCAAGAACATGAAAAAAATGGATTGAAATTATGAGATCAGTCCGGAGAATTAATTCAGAACCGGCAAAGCGATTGCAATATCATAAAAATATTTTGACATTGTTTTAATAAATGATAACATTATATTAATAATCTTGTCTGATAACATATTGTTGTAACGAACGAAAGAGCGGAAAAAGTAATCAACCAATGCAGGAAGCAGTATCCGTTGATCATTAAGTCTCAATCAAATGATCAACAAGAGATTTAGCCACATTTCTGAAGGTATCTCATATGGCTAGTTAATTCTAGATGACGTAAACCATTCGATACGAATTAGTTCTGCTTGAAAATCTCAGAAATTCTTCGAGCCATCTTATTCAGCGGATTCTCCTCCGATCATCGGATTCACTGGGTTTATTCAAATTTAATTCCGATATTCCATGTTTATATCATGTAATATCGGGATTAAATTGTTGAATAACTGGATTGAATCTAACAAGAAAACTATCATTTTTGATTGTTGAGTACGTTTATAATCTGACAATTTCTTTATAACTTTTTCCTGAAGTGTGATGAGTGCACTGAGTATCACCTAATCAGCTCTAATCTACCTATTTTTGTTGCTCATTTTATTATAATCATCATTATTATCACTGCTCATAAGCTTATTTATCGTGCTTAAACTCATAAACTTAATGCAGCCAGCTTGAGGAAATTCAATTTTGCACACTATAAAATGTGTTTAATATATGATGTGTTAATATAACATATTTCAAGCGAAGATCGTCCTTTCATTTACATTAAGATATATTGACTATTGCTGTTAGAAGTAGAATATGAGGGAGATTGTTAAAGTAAGCCGTCATTCGCTGGATGCTGAAGATGAATTAAGTGCATTGTTTGTTCTTGATAAGTTCATTGATCAAGGCCTAACTTTGATCGAAGCCAAGAACAGCAACGTATAGTGTGTACGTAATTTTACAAGAACAAGAATTTTGCTTCGTTAATGAAAACAGACGGTTTGCAAGATGAATTCAAGGTGATTTGATGTTTGTGTTAGTTTTATTACTATTCTTATTATCACTACAGCCATTAAAACACTAGTGCTAACAATATTGTTACCGTTCTCGATGTGTTGCGTAACTAAAGACCGATCCGAATATCGAGACAAATATCAGAAAAATCGCTCGTTCGGATGATTGNGAAAAAATGACTGCAAATGAATTGCGAAGCATCAACGTCTTTTTTTGTTGTTCAAGTTTTTGCCTAGAATGAAGGTATCAGTATGCAGAATTTCAAGGAATTTTAAGGTAACCACCTTGCAGATTTGGCTTGAATGATGCAGACGACCTGTTGCACCCCAGATATCAAACTAAAAACATCGCCTGATTCACAAATACATAATTGCTAGAGTGTCTCGAGAGTCAATTCAACTCTTGCGAGTACTTTCTAACGTTATCAAATCCTGATTTTGGTACGAATCCTCATCTACATTATCCATTATCAGGAGTAAAATGCTGAAAAATAAAGATGGAAATCTTTTAAATGGTCATTATGGCTCAGAACTGGTGGATAGAATCTGATAGTCTTCATCACAATAGATGATTTAATTCCTACTTGTGCCGAAGATTGGTTTGTCAGTGTGCGATTGGTTGAGCCACTTTTTCGGAAATTTCAAATCGTACCGCTTCACTGTTTTAGAGTTCATCGAAACAGAGTGAATATCTCCGTTTCTGTTATCAATTGCTCAGTTTATTCGTTTGATAAAACTTTATAGGGTGACTCGAAATCATTCTCCCTCGTAGTGTCATTCGACAGCAGTCAGACTAATATGAATATGATTGATTATATGAAACCAATGATCATATTAAACTGCAATCTTTTATTGTGCATATTGGGTGTTCCCAACCCGTCATGCTGCCAACAAGAGGGGCTAGGTTTAGGTAAATGCGACAGGCGTTCCCCGCCTACCGGCAGTCTCGGCGAATCGGGGAGAAACGACTCAAAATATGCTAGCGATATTTACCCGAGTGTCGCTAGCATTCATT